TTGCTGCTGTTAATGAAAACGGAGTTACTGAGTAATTTTTCTAGACCAAACAATGGTTGTTCTGATGCTTTAGATTAATATGACATGTTTCGTGTAGAGAACTTACCAAAAGCCAACTGTGAACTCTTTAAGAAATTGTTCCTCACAGAAAATGGTTTCTGAGTTGTTTTAGTTCAGAAATTCTGAAGTTACTTTCTTAGGTTGCATAAGAAATTTCCAGGCTTATACAGAGAAGTTTTTTTCTTCTTCTTCGTGGTCGAAAGGGCATTTTGGAGTTTTTTGGGCTGCTAAGGTAGATTATTTTTTGCTTCTTTGCTCTAAAAAACCTTCATAATTTTCTGGCTAGTATTTGTTTCTTAGTTACATTTAGACTTCTATTTGGATCATACACAGTGGTAGACATTTTAATTTGACAATATGTAGTGTTTTTGTGATTACTTTCGTTTTTCTGTGTTGAATTTCACTTGGCAATGCTCTTTAACCTCTTGTGGGGAAGGCTTCTCATGGGTAGCTGAATGTCACATGTTATGTCATGCGTATAACATCTCCCCGAGACACTGAACATGTTATTCTCTGTATCAATCAGTTTGGCTAGCAAATCAATCTTTCTTAGAGACATCCTTTTTAGGATAATGAGGCTTGCTATTTGGCTACACTACCAACGCCTCTGTTTTTCGTTTGTGGTGTTAAATTGGCTTAATGTGCCTTTAGTGTGTTTCGTCTAACATTGAAAAGGAGTAGCTGTTTAGACATGAATACTGTTATTCTTATTAGCTGATTGAAAGTTGAATGTGACCCCCTGCAGATAAGATAACAAGTAATTCTTCAGCTGGGTTTGTGTTTTACTTGTTGCAGGGTGCAGTATAGTTCATCATCTGAATTTGTCAGAATTATGGAGCCATCGGATAGTTTTCTTATAGAGTCATCAATCATTTAATGTATTGACACATGTCCAAAGTGTATTTATTATAGGACACATGTCAATACACTATTTGTTAGTAAGGGTGGATGGCTCCATAAGTCGTGTCATTCGATGGTTCCATAGTAAGACTGCCGAATTTTTGGTCAAGGTTTTGTGTGTGTGTGCGTTGACCTGGGAGTGTGTACAAAAAGTATACGATCACCACATGCAGCATGATACCGTCATAAACTTAGGGCATAACTCATGCGGCACCATGAAAATTGGAAAGCTCTTTGTATTTCCTATCGGACTTCTCGAGGTATGTGAGCATTAATGTGAGCTTCCACTCAAACAGTCCACTATACAAACCCAAATGTGAAAAAAGTCGTGTGTTGAATAGAATGCAAATGTTCGGCTGCAGCTTAGGTGTTTGTATGGAATGGGTAAATTTCAGCCTACTCTATGTGTGATCCAACAGTGAGAAACACAGTCACATCTATATCTATATCTATATATATATAAAGATGTTGGAAAAATACATTAATAGAAAGTTTGACCAAATAAATATAATATTTGACTTACTATTAATGGAAAGTTCATAAAAACACATGTGAATCTTTAGTAACAGAATCTAAATCCTATTTTTTTGGTAACAAATTTGGAGATTCTTATGGCAAAATTTGAATCTCATTTATTTTCGTATCATATTTTAATTTTTTACCAAAATGTAAATCATATATATTTTTATAACAAATTTAGAGATTCTTATCCAAAAAATGTGTCAATTATTTATGAAAACAATTATAAATACAAATTAATTTAAAAATCGTGCAAATTGGATACGAATTTAGGAAGCAAATAGTTGTATAATTCTTAACCAATTCTTCAAATCTTATTGAATAATTTTTTATTTCAAAGAAATTGTGTAAATTAGATAAAGTCACGTGCAATTTTTATTTTAAAATAAAACTGATATTTTTACGGGATGTACATTCAAAATTGTGTCCACATTTTTTGCTAACAAAAGCGGTTCATCATTGATATTTAAAGTCTCCTTATCCAATTATTTAGGAAAAAATTGTGTGCAGCTTTTCAAAATTTAAATGGATCGATTTTTTTGGATTCTTATGTTTTTTCTTAACCATGTTTTACCAAAATTTTGGTAAGTTCATATCATATTTTTTTTTTGTTAAGTTCATATCATTCTCTTTAGAAAATGCAGTTGCATAAACATTAACAATTTATTTCAAATTTTTATTAGAATTTTTTTCAATTCAATTTGTTTGGTACAAGAATCGTTGCAATGTTAGAAAAATTCGGTTGTATTTTTAGGAAAATTTGATTAATTTTAATTTGGTTTAAAAAAATTCGGATTAATTTGTTTGATAAAAAATCGGTTTATTAGTAGGAAAATCGGTTTCATTTCCAGGAGTAACTAATGATTCTTTTCAATTTTTCTTCATTGAAATTTAGAATTAGATTTAAAATAAATAATGGGTGAAAATTCCTAAGAAATTCTACATTTTTTTCTACTTTAATTTTGTTTAATAAATAAGATCCTTTAATTTTTTTAAAATTTGTTAACTAATAATTAATGATATGCAATTTTAGATAAATTCGAACACCTATGTAGTACTTTACGTGCCAAAGAATCAAATCAATAATCTTGTACATAAAGAAGTGCTTAATAACATATAAATTTCATTTTCATGAAATTTTTAATGGCATGAGACAATTTAAATACAAAAATACCTTTTAAAAAATAAATAGGTAATAAATGCTCACGTGCATCGCACGGGTACCGTACAAATACTGCATAAACCAGTAGAATTGAATCTTCCTCTATGAAATAATAGATGTTTGAATGGAAAGTGGTAATTTTTGAAGAAGTTGCTATTTTAGGATGACATTTTAGTTCAAAAGTATGCTTATCTATACTATTATAAAAAGACGAGTGATGTTGCAAAAATTGCATGGACTAAAAATCTATATCTATATATCTATCTATATCTGTACTATTATAAAAGAAGAATAAGTTTGTAAAAAAATGTACTACTGCATAAACCAGTTTGGACGGCGAGACGAGACCTCTTGAGCGGTAGTATCACCATATTTAGCGATTTTACTAGTTCAGTATGTCAGAGCGTATTTATACTCTGCAGGGTGGTCGGAGATCAGCGATTGTCGGCGATCACTTGGAACGACGATTGTTGACAGAGGCGATCATGTGATCGGCCAATATGTTGGCCGGATATACCAATGTTTTTGGGTCTTGCTCAGGTGTGACTTGTGATGACGATAATAGGTCATGCTTCTATCGTAATCCTATGAGCTTTTTGAGGAAGTATAGTAAGTATATACAACAATGTACATTTTAGGTATATAATTTTTATATGTTTTTCACATATAAATGCTTTATAAAATTTGTATTATTATTAATTGCATGAGAAAAGGTTAGTATACGATAAATTTTGTATTTTATATGCTTCTATCGTAATCCTATATGTTCTTATAAATAAATTTTATATGTTTTTAAGTAAGTATATATATATATATATATATATATATATATATATGTGTGTGNAAATGCTTTATAAAAATTGTTTTTATATGATAAAAATTATATTAATATTAATCCACTGTATATAAATTTTATATGTTTTTCACAGGCAAACTGATGAGGCATTAATCTCACTTTTAATTAGTATATGATAAATTCTACATGTTACTAGTATTCGTTCCTGTGCAAATGTACAAAATAAATAAAAATTTATATATTATATGTATATATACAATATTTAAAATTTAAAATTAGATAATGGATGTATTACATTTTAAATTTTTTAACTATATATAAATATACAATATAAATAAAAAAAATTTAACTTGTGTGTGAATCTTTATATTGATGACATAAATTTTAATGGATAATGATTTTGTAATTTAGAGGAACCATATAATTAATTAGTTAGAAAAATATTGCAATTATTTTTTTATTTTTATAGTAATTATTTATATAATTTTAAGGAATTTAATTATGACATTCATGTCAATTAACTAATATTAGAGAAAAATCGCTTAATAAGACGAAAAATAATATTTATTGAAACTTAAGTATCTTAAAGAAAAAAATTACAATACCTTTTTATAAGTGTTTATCTTTTCACATACCATTTAATGTAAACTTATAATTAGTTAATGTTAGTAGTAATTATTACATAATAAATTAGTCTAAAGTATTATTACACTATATTAATGTATAATGTAACTGTTCAACATTAATTGAAAAAAAAGAGCGGAAACCATATTGAGGTTTTATTTATTGTTCTGCCAGCAATTATATATATATTATATATATATAAATTTGTAAATTAATTTTAATAATGTTAACCGTGTGCAAAATCTTTGTAATTCCATCGGATAATATACTACTAAATGTGTATAGAACACGCATTATTAGTGCGCATTTTATATTTTTTTTTAAAAAATTATTGGAGATCAACAGCAAATCTAGACCATCTAGTCTAGTTTACAAAAGCTAGACCCAACTCCCAAATAGCCAATGACATTCCAAACCAATAAAGTCAACACGACGCTCAAACACCGTAGAGTTCAATCAGTTCCAACCCTCTCTCCCTCTATCTGGCAAAATCGACAATGCTGTGGATAAAATTACCGTCTTGTCCTTGCCCTTTTCCTCCATTGCAGCAGCTGCTGCTGCTCAAGTGATTATTGACGGATACGCGTCTTTCCC